GGAGATGACGTCACTCTGAGCTGTCTAACAGAGACCACTCCCTCCAACCTCCCAGCTGCTTTCTATAAAGATGGCTCCCTCATCAGGACTGAGCCCAAAGGTCACATGACCCTCCACCATGTAAACCGCTCTGATGAAGGCCTCTACAGGTGTAACATCAGTGGTCATGGAGAGTCTAATTCCAGCTGGATCTCTGTTGAAGGTCAGCAGCTTCTCTCTCTGCTTCAACCTTTATAATGAGACAAGCACTAATTAATAACATCTGGCTTATTTCAGAGAAACCAACCACTCCTCCTCCTCCACCCACCACTACTCCATCCATAACTCTGACCTTTCTCCACACCACAATAGCTACTGCCACTTTTATTTTTTTGGTTTTACTTCTGGTTCTAATGAGTCGATGTGTCTGCAGGAAATCTCAAGGTAACCCTTCAATATTTTATAGAATTAGCAGCATTTTTACATATTTTAGAGAGGCATACACATTGCTACACTTCATTCATTAACACATGGATTTTAAGTTATTTTCTTCTTGTTCTTGACGCTGTGGCCCTGTGGAGGTGCAGTATCAAAGCCAGAATTATTCTGGAGTTCTGTTGCCACTAACCCACTAAGAACAGGGGGGATTTAACTTAATGTCTTATAGCAAAGAGGGCTTAAATCAAACAAGCTCCTTGTTGTAGAATTTTTAACTTGTAGTAATTTGAGAGTTGCCTCTTTTTAAATAACTTTGGATAATACATATTGAAAACATATATTTTCTTTATTTTTTTAAACAAAGAAAACTAATTATCTTTGATGTGTTCTGCTTGATTCCAGTTGAAGAAGAGAAAGAAGACGAGGGCATCACATACAGTGAACTAAACATCCGCAAAAATAAACAGCAGCCGATCAAAAGCAGCAGAGGTAAGACTTCACATCATTTAGCTGCTTAACTAAATCATAACTTTCCAGTTTAAACGATGAACAAAGATACTGTATTTTATATTTACTGCTGGACATAGACAATGTTTGTTTAATTTCTCACATCAAATGGCCTTTTTTAGTAAAGAGAAATTAGACCTCATTATTTTCTAAAGATGGAAGCTTTTTTTATTTATTCTTCCCCTAAATGTTTGTTGCATCACTGCTTCATTCCCCTTTTGAAGCTAATCTCATTAGAACCTCAGGAATTGTGTCAGTCTGTTAATTCTGGCACACAAGTTAGATTATTGTTGTAGCTTTCAGTCGTTTCTTCATTGCACTTTGTGCCTGCAGCCTGTGGTTATTCAGTTAACAGAGTAGCAGCTCTGTGGTCATCCATCTTCCTGTTGTTGAAGGTGAAAATAGTACCGATACGTATTTCTCTGCAAGAGTCAACATTTTTCACCATGTTTTATTTTAAGTTCAAATACTCAGATCAAATGTATTTGAAGACCGTTTTTAATAGTAAAGATCACAAATTATTACTATAGAGGTTTACATTGTATGTATGCAGGGACACCAATGTCATGAGATTATTTAGCCTAAATTAAGATGTATCTTTTTTAACTTAAAATATAATAATAGCAGAGTTTTACAAAGCTGTAACTTAATAATTTTATGGTTTAAAAACCTGTTAGTAAATGGCAGGAACCCACTGAGAAGGCCAAAAGATGGGATTAGGAGGTGCTGCATATCAGACAGTTAGCTGTGGCCTCCTTCTGCTGTAATGATGCTCTGCCTAGTTCCTTTTTTTTTATTTGACTCCTTCAGTCGCACTGCAAAATATTGTAGAGTCTGATGGCAGCAGGGATGAAGGACCTTTGACTAAAGGAGCTGCTCAGCTCCTCTACAGGCTGTTGCAGGGAGTGAGAGGTGTTGTCCATGATGGATGGAAGCTTGGACAGCATCCTCATCTCAGCCACTTCCTCCACTGAGTCCAGGGTGCAGCCAAGGGCAGAAACGGCATTTCTAGCCAATTCGTTCAGTGTCTTTCTGTCCCGCTCTGCGCCTCCAGGGGCCC